TTTCTCATACTTGCTTTATTTTTGACATTAATTTCTAATTGACTGCATGCTATCCAGAATAGCATTGCACTCAGATTAAACATGCATCAAATATGAAGAATTTAATGAAAATTTTAAACATAAATAATTTTTTTTCGAGTTGCAGTCAATGCTAGAAGACTGTTTTCCTTAAAAAGAATAGGCATTCAGCGATATTATCGCTAGGAAGAGAAAGTATTGAATACCGACTGAGTATTGCAAAGAAGAATTTTTGAAATTCATGACACATGGCAGTCAAAAGATTGGTTCAAAACATTTCAAAGGTGCGATGAAAATTTGTTGAAAGGGCGAGTTACCTCCATTCAGAGCAAGCTGTCTATCGTAATGTGAAACCTGTAAAATATGTAAAGTTTCTTCACTGCATTTGTCAATAAAAATTTTTAACATATTATCAGCTTCCTCTTACTTAGTTTCCTCATCGATGCTGATCATGCTCTAAAAATTCCCGCTTTTGGTATGTTGAGGACTTGAGGGGAATCGGAAAGTGTAAGTATGACTTTCTGCAGTTCAGTTCCTCGAATGGCTCCTGAAATAATTTTGAGTAAAAAGTGCAGTGAAGAAGTGGGTTCTGCATGTTAGCAGTTTTTTGGATAGTTTCCAGGGTAGCATGTGGAATTTAGGGGTAGTGTTTTGAGTGGAACCGTAAAAAGGTAGAAAGGGTAAACAGTGTTTTACCAGAATTTCTTTGAAGATTCAGTCTCTAGAAGGCCTTACTTTAATCTCCATCACTCGGGAGAAGTAAAAGTCTTCTCGACAGCGTTTTTTTATGAACTCAGTCTTTCAGACATGCAAAGGCTGCTTGAAGAAGCAGAACGACTTTTATTGGGTATTTGAAAAAGGAACCTGAACAACGGATATTATTTGTTGATATTGCATACAGAATCATTAATTTAAAGGTTTCCTTAATTAGCGCAGTTTTTCATCACTATTTCTTACTGTATCCGTTCAAGCGCTTCTTCTGACCAGTTACCTGACATACCGTTTAATTTTATCAATAGAAAGATTTCTAAATTTACAACATTTCCATTTCACCTCGATGAATCACATTTGATTTCAAGTTAAAACCGCTGAAAACAAAAGACTGGGAAAATTTAGTTATGGTTGAAACAACTATGCAGAGGAAAACTGAACAATTAGTAACTAAAATGTATGAATTAAATACAAGTATGTTGACAGCGATAGAATACCAAATTTTGATATTAAACAGTTGCAGAAGTTGTAGTAGATTAAAGTACCAACGCTTCTTCTCTCTGAAATACTTAGACTTCGTATTTGGCTTTATAAGATTTCTGAAATTTTCTGTCGTTTTTTAAGGATATTTATTTTTCTCTTCCATCATTGAAACAGAACCATTTGTTAGCTGGAAAGTTCAAGTGCTGATACACTAAGCAACGACTAAAAAAGTGCGGAGGCAGATGAATAGTTTATGATAATAGCGTTACGATGTACGAAGATAGAAGCGATTATTGTCGGTACCATTATACTGGTGACAATTCATACAAACCAAGGAAAGGTTTCACTTTATTCATATTAACTTTCATTCTCTTCAACTTTTTTAGTGCTCTTTTTATTTGCAGTGTATAAAATTTTTTCCTTGATTTTCAGTTCTGATATCTGACGGTTTCTAAGCAATTTCATTTATATGCATTTCCACCTGAGAGTCACCGGTCGATGGAATAACTGTAAACAGCTTTAGCGTATGTTATAAGATGATCTGTTTAAAAACTCAACTGGAAATAATAAAACAATGTGTCCAACGAATAAATCACAACACAACCGAAGTCGGTAATTCTGATGCCTAAACAAGTGCTCATACCATCTAACATCCGAACGCTCTATTTGAGCAATCGCTCAGTGAAAGGTATTTGTAAGGAAAGATACGGGCTTGACGCTAAGGTAATAGGAGTACAGACAAGCTACTTCTAATCAGGTCTTAATAGAATATTGGTAAACGTTAAAAAAAAGCCTAGCACTTTGCTTGGTTTGCTGTTTAAAGGGAAAGATAATGAATTTATAGGATAAAGTGCAGAAAAAAAACGTTTTGATATTTTATTTTTCCTGTCATTTTGACCGTCGATAAAGTTTGCCATTGTTTATTGAGCAGTTCCAAAAAGTATTTATTTTCTTATTTATTTTCTTTAACGACCAAATTTCTTGAAATTTTTTTCACAAGTGTTAAGCTACGTTTTTGAAGAAACAAGAAAAAAGCCACTGAAATCCCTCACATTTTTAGCGGTAAGGTTCGTGAAGTTTCTCATCTTCTCAGCCACCAATTTACGTCTGGTTTCCGTATAGAATTGCGAAAAAGACAATTAATCAAAGTCACTCAAAGCAAGTGATCAAGAGGAAGGTTTTAGAACGTATAAGAGTACTTTTTTTTCAAAATTGCAGCATTTTGATTGCTTTTTCATATAGTACAATTTGGCAGTACCTGATTATCAGCGAAAATCGACCAGCAAAAGGTGTCTCTGTAGTGTTTTAGTCACAAAACTGTTGACTTAAAAACCCATATATGACTTTATCAAATTTTTCACTGTACAATTTATTGTGGAAATGCTTTCGTGAAACCGTAAATCAAAGTTGAGATGTTGAAGGCAAATTAAGAAAAACTAATTGAGGGTTTTGCATTTGCGTCTCGTATTCAAAATCTTGCGCCTGCAAATGAAGTCCAAGTATGTCTTTAAAAAAAATTTGAAAATTTTTTGCCCTTTCCCAGTAAAAAACCTCAAAGAAAATGAAGTATTGATATGGCTTTTTTTAGTTGTGAAGACTTCACAGAAATCTAAAATCAAAGTGTAAAATTTTTACTGCGATTAACACTATACAGAGTTACTGTAAAAAAATTTTTTTAGCGAGCAAACAAGCTACAGTCTAGATTAGTGATGTTATTCTTGTTTTGCTAAAAAAATAGAAATGTAAAGTACGTGGCAAAAAAAAAATCCTGTCTGTAAGTTGCAACACTGAAGATGTTCTGCAAAATACCATTAGAACCTTTTTTTTTCAGTTTCTGCTCACAGTTTCCTTGCATCCTTACTTTCCATTTCATTTTTTTCATTTTCACTTAATGACCAATATTTTTGAGAATTATTTTTTTTTTACTCAAGGTACTGGGTGCAATTTCGTTTTGAGTGTACAGCTGACTACATTGAAAGATGTAGAACTTTACTGGAAGACTTAATTGGTGAAATGTACTGGAAAGGTAAAGATCATTTAACGACATCAAATTTTAATAGTAATTAAGTAATGAATAGAAGACTTTTGCAAAATGATTAACAATCCCCTGTTTATAGCAGACCTTAAGACACATAAAAACCGGATCAATGATTTTAGACAGGGCAAACATTTGAAACCGCTTGTCCAAATTGAGTTATAAACACTTTGAGTAAGTCACATTTTACTTTTTTTTGGACCAAAACCTCTTAGAAATGCCAGCGGGTAATTGTATGCCAGTAGCAGGTATTCTTTGCCCAAGTCTCTCACAGTTATTTAGTCTTATTTTTATCTAAATTGGAAAAATGAGTTAGGAGGAGAGAAGGTGGGAAGAATAATGGAAATCAGTGTGGTCTTCAAGAGGAAATTTTTTGTTATGACTTCTCATAACCGAGCAGAATTAGAAAAAGTGGAAAAGAATTGCGATTGGTTTTAAGCGAAAACACTTGCATCCATTTCTTTCTTTTTTCCTCCCAGAAAATAAAATAGTCATTGGTAGATTAAAACACAGAAAACAAGAATTGTAGGATATTTCAACAAATCAAAATAATCATATAAAAATTGAATAAATTAAGAGAAAGATGCAAATTTGAGGCACTACAGCAAGAAAAATAACATACAAAAAATATATCACTTCAAAAACAAACTATAACAAGACAAAATAAAAATGACAAAAAAATTTAGTACTCCCGTCAAACTGACAACATAGGTTCTTTCCTTACAGTACAATGGTTTTATGGTCACTAAGGCATATTGGAAGCACCTAGAAAAGTTAAAAAGAAAATCAGATAAAATAGGATTGCCACGTCACTTTTAGAGTAGTCTTTTTCATTTCATGTACCACAGCTTATTTAAAAAAATTAACCCCGGTAACAACCCTTTCGCAAGATTCAATTTCCAAACACAGTTTGAAAAAACATTGAAAAACTAAATGATTACAAAACCGATTTGCTTGCATTTTTAATACCA